CCATCCAAAACACTTGAAAAGTTTTCACGGAGAGAGAGAGAGAGAGAGAGAGATAGATAGAGAAAGAGGTTTTAGGTTTCAATAGATTAAACAAAACCACTGCACAGTGAGGATATCACTGTGAACATAAAAAGTCAATACTATTTTGGGAGTGGGGATGGGGGGGGGGGGGGAGGTGGGGGGTGAACACATTCCACACTTTAATCTGTTTTCTCTCATTTCTGCTGTTAAATCCCAAGAGTGTTCCTTCTGCACTTATAATAATAATCTTTGCATTTGCTTTATCGTGTCTGCGAGTTGTCAATGAGTCACAGGAATTTTACTGGCGACGGTGGTGACCGTGTGCTTGACGGCAAAACCCGGCAACTGATTTTACGCCCAGCAACGTCTCAGAAACAGCCCTGAAGTGAAGTGGCCGACCGATTTCATTTGGGTGGGGCAGCCGACCGACAGAAAGAAAGAAACTCCCTCTGCTTCTCGATAGTGCGATGGAAATCTTTTAACGTCCACCTGAACAGGCACAGACGGGACCTTGGTTTAACGTCTCATCCGAAGAACGGCCATATTCCGGGGGGTGGGGGCGGAGAGGGGGGGGGGGGGGGGGGGGGGAGAGAGGGGGTTATACAGACACATCACACAATTAAATGCTGCATCTGTTGTAGTTCACATTGTGTTCAGGAGGTGGCGGACTTAAATCTTGCTTTGCCTACATGATTTGGTTCCAACTTTTGTTCAGCTCTTAATAATAATACTTGCACTTGATATAGCACCTTATCACCTCGTCGAGACGTCTCAAAGCGCTTTTCCTCAGCTCAGCGCAGCCAATTCTGCACAAAACACAGAACCAAAATGTCCGTTCTCCCCTCGAGACAGTGTAAAACGTGGATAATCCTGTGAATCGCGTGTTTTGTTTTGCAACCGTTCATTCTTTTCCTTAGAATATCATTCGAGGTGGGCGGGGGGGGGGGGGGGGGGGGGGGAGAAATGGCGGGTAGGGGCGGAAGGAGGGAAATGGGGTGAGAGAGGGTGGAGGAAAGGGATGTAGTAATTTCTCACAAAGGAACAGGCCCTTTCAGTCTCAAGCGAATGAATGCTTAATCGAAACGTACAAATCTACCAAAAACTCACAATCACCCCAAGTGCATTTCATCGTCACCGGAAAAAAAACGCCCCCACATAGTTGCACGACCTGTGTACAATAGCACAAGGCTTTGCCTCGTCGATTTGTATTTAATGGTCACATAAAAATAGTTTCAAGGCTCGACAATTTTGACACATGGGGTAACGGGCAGCTCCAGTCTGGGATGTGGAGATGGGTTATATAATAATAATAATAATAATCCTTGCATTTGATATAGCGCTTTATCGTATCTTCGAGACGTCTCAAAGCGCTTCACAGAATAATCTGTAAAGTGAATCGACTGTATATTTTATGGGGTTCACTCAGTCTGTGTGAAATGGGGATCATCCAGGATGTTAGCCTGCAGGTTCCTCCACTGAAGGTAAATCCAGATTCCCCCACCCCGCCGTGCACCCCGACTACCGTCTCCTCCCCAATAAGGAACAGAACAAGGAACAAGTGTCCAGGAGCAGGTTTAAACAAAAAAAAGGCAAACAAATGCACTGAGCTGCTCAGTTGAGAGACATTAATTGCAATGATGGAGGTTGGAACAGACCCAACAAGTACAACGTATGACCTGACCTGTGGACATCGTGTAAAACGGGAGCTCAAAACTCACCACGTACTTCAATCTGACTGTATGAGGGGAAACAGAGTTAACCACAATCTTGGGGAGTCCGGATAAAAGCAAATGAATTATTTTGTATCACCCCATCACCCCACTGTGCTTCACCACATTGCCTGAACCCCTTTTACTATATTACTATATAATAATCCTGGCATTTGATGTCGCGCCTTATCACGTCTTCAAGACATCTCAAAGCGCTTCTCAGAGTGCGCTGTAAAGTGAATCGACTGTATATTTCGTTGGGGTGAAACTCGGCAGCCAGTCGCGGATTGAGTGACCGATTTATTATTATTTTGAAAGGAATTATTACTCCCTTGCAACACATTCCTAGTTATTTGTCTTCCGATTTCGAAGCTTAAATAACGGTAACTAAAAAAGAATTTACCTTAAAAAAAAACGCAAAAAAAAATAAAAATGACTTGCTACCGAAAGAAAACGAAACCCAACCCATTTCTATCCAGGCCCGAGATGTGTGTGTGTGTCTCGCATTTTAAGATTTAAACGCTGTGAGTAAAAGGTGCACATAAACATTCGGTCAATAATATATTAAAAAAAAGGTTCCAACAAGTTGACGCAAGCAAACAATGGGTTGTGAACATGAGGTAATTTACTTTGGTCTACTATTGCATCAATGATATGGACTGTTAAGTATAGAATTCCCCAGCAGTGCAATTTAGATTTTAAATACATTTGCAGACAGTGACTGCACATACACAAACGCGTAAAGCGCCTGATAGGGAGGACGGCTGTTCGTGTCGGTCAGATCTATTTCTTTTTTGGTTAACCCGGGGTGTCCAACGCTTAAGAGCGACAGTTGAGAGTCACAGCGAATGATACGGCGCCTTAAAGCATCGTAGAAATATCTCAAAAGCGCTTCACGGGATTTTACTGGGAAGTGTAGTGACTGCATATTTTGAACGTGAATGCAGAAGCCGATTTGCCTCCATCCAGCTGTGAAGTGAGTGACTTTTTTTTGGGGGGGGGGTGGGAAGAATTGTTGGTCAGGGCAGCGGGGGAAGCTCCCTCTCTTTACCAATAGCGCCACGGGAGCTTTCACGTCCGCCTGAGCAGGCGGATGGGACTTCGGTTTAACGTCTGAACTGATGGCATCCTTCGCCCCACAGTGGCTTTACACCCGGGGTCGTAAATCATCGGGGTTTGAATGAACAGACTGCGAGGTCACACCACCGAGAATTCACCGAAGAAAAGAATCCCAGAATTTGTATCTCCCTCAAAGCGACTTGCAGGGTTTGACTGTACTGTACGGTGCGGAGACTGCGTGTCGTGGGAAGACGTGGCAGCCAATTTGCGCACAGCGGCGTCCCACGAACAGCCTCCACACAGGATGTTACTCACATCTTTTAGGTACCGTAAAAAATCCCCATAACTCGACCCTGGCTTAACTTGTCACGACCACTTACTGTCAATATCGTGGTCGCATTTATAATATGTAATAATAATAAGAATAATCCTGGCATTTGATACAGCACCTTATCACGTCTTTGAGACGTCACAAAGCGCTTCACAGACTGTGCTGTGAAGTGAATTGACTGTGTATTTTGTGGGTGTTTATACATTTGCCGAATTTGTCACTCGGGATAACACATCACTCGAGCCCTTTGCTCTTGGAGTGACAAGTTATCGGTTTACCGCAGTTAAACCATGTTTGCCGTTTGCTTTTCAGGGGGAAAGAAATTACGATTTTGATCCACGATTTTAATTTTAATACCTGAGATGTTGATTTATATTATATATATATTTATATAGACTAAAAAAAAATGGACAGATACTTAAGTGATCTTGTCTTGAGTTGAATCTTAGAAGCAGCCCCTCTGCCCCTCAATCTCAGCACCCCCAGCACCTCTTCCCCCTCTCTCCTCCCAAATCAGTGACTGATAGTTTATCCATCAGACGGTTTGTTTGCACGGATCAAACCAAAAGCAGGAAAAATAAATGGTTGCAAAACGATTTAGGTTTTCAGAAGTAGTTAAAAAAAAAGAACAGAGATTTCCCCCCCGCCCCCTCCCACTCCCCTCTTCTCCCCCCCCCCCTCTCCGTTAGCTAACTACTTCTCCGCAGCACAGTGAGAGCGAGAGAGAGAGAGAGAAGAGACAGAGAAAGAGAGCGCGAAAGAAAAAGAGAGATTATGGTCACTTTAAGACACGTCACACACTTGACTCCAAAACTCACGTTAAGCTCGGGAGTCACTCAATCCAACAGAGAGACAGACAGCTACAAACAAAACTGCAGCACATCAATTGCCCCCCCCCCCGCCCCCCACCCCCCCCTACCCCCAACCCCCCCCACCCCCAACCCCGAAACCATCAACGTCTAGACATCTTGCACAGCACTTCATATACTGGATTACAGTGTCGGGAGTCATTTTGTTTTTCTTCTTCTTCTGTCGATAGTTTAGAGACCTTTCCAAAAGGCGTGCTGAATAATAAAAAAAACTCCTCTCCCTCTTCCCCCCACTCCCCTCCCCTCCCACCCCGCCCCCCCCCCCAAAAAAGAACGATTCTGCTCCTTCCGAGTCCTCTGGGAGGGTGAATTAAAAAGCGAAACAAAACGCCCGCGGGAAAAGCAACCGGCTCCATCTTGGGCCCGTGGTGCGTTTATCCCGGGCCTGTTCCAGCAGGCCTTGTTGTTGTTGTTGTTGTTGCTGTTTAGGCTCACGAAAAAGGCGCCTCTCCTTTTCCCGCCTTCGTTTCCACTTCAGTTCGTCAAACGCCGTCCGGCAAAAAAAAAAAAAAATAGCTCGAACGTCCTTCCTCAAACGCCGTCCCCATCCAGTTACTGCGGCAAACCCCTCCAGCGGTTCATTTCCCTGTGAGGGAATCGCGCGCGAAAAGGTGGCGGGAGGGGGTGGTGGGGTGGGGGGGAAGAGAAAGGTGGGGATGGAGGGAGGGGTAGGGCGAGGGATGGGAGCGAGCGAGCGAGCGAAGGAAGGAAGGAAGTGGGAGATAAGTCTTACCGACAACTTGTAAATTCACGGGTTACAAAGGGAAACGCTCACTCGCTCGCGCTCCCACCCGCGCACATCCGCGTGGTCAATAAGGACAGCCGTCAAATCAGGTTCCTCTGATAAAAGCACGGTTCTAGCGCAGTGGACGTCTGCAATTTCGTCCCCCCCCCAGGGCGACCTCGGTGACGTTTTGGACGAGCCCGACGGTGGCCAGCCTCTCCCCCTCCCCCCACTTCCCCCTCCCCTCGTTTCCACTGTTGAGCTCTCCGAAGCCACCATCTTTTCTCTTTCTCTCTCTCTCTCTCTCTGTCTCGCACTCTGTCCCCTTGGCAGGAGCCTCGCGTTGCGGACCAGGAATGTGTCGGGGATTCAAGGGAAAGCGGGTCTCGGTGACAATGTTCTGCCTGATCTCCGGGGGCCGTGTCCGGTCTGTCTGGCTCAGGCCTCAGGTTAGCTTGAGGGTGCCGACGGGAAACGATGGCACGGTCACCATGGTGACAGGGTTTAGCACGGTGGAGCCCACGATCTGCTGGTGGACCAGCTGAGGCCCTAGGGCTTGCTTTGTCAGGACGGCCTGCGGGTTGATCGCGGGGCTGGTGCCGTTGACCTGCTGGTGGTGGGCGATGCTGTGGGCCAGGTGACTGACCACCGGCTGGCTCACCGTCATGGGCTGCTGGTAGATGGCGGGCAGCGACTGCCCGAGGTGAGCCATGTGGCTTAAGGTGGCTGGGTGCACAGTGATGTGGCTGATAGGTTGCGCGGAGCAGGAGGTGGAAGGTGCGATGTGGGCCACGTGCTTGGCCTGGGAGGCCTGGATCACGTGGTTGACGGCCGTGTGGATGACCGAGGCGTGGGAGGCGGGGGCCGCATGAGCAATGACCGTGGGCTGCATGGGGGCCGCAGTCACGAGGTGAGTCTGGGACGGGACTGCCGTCTGAGGGGGCACCAACGCGTGGGGTTGGATGTGCGTCGGCCCCTGGCTCGGGGGCGGCTTCTGCTGGATGGACAAGCGCGGCGGCGGCTGATGGGCGATGGCGCACGACACGGCCTTCAGCACGTCCTGGTGCGAGCGGTGAGGCGCCTTTGCCAAAGAGTTCATCGGCCGCATGTCTTCCATGTCATCCTCGATGTTGTCCTCGCCCTCTGAAATGAAGGGAGATGCAAGGCAAACGTTACTCGCTGCTCTTGTCCTGCCCGCACGGGTTAGGCTTGACCGGGGATCATTCCAACAGCAACATGCGCTCGTAGTAATCATACTAATGCTTGCACCCGGCCTCGCGCCTCATCACGTCTTCGAGACGTCTCAAAGCGCTTCACGGAATATACTGTAAAGTGAATTGACTGCGTATTTTGTGGGTGAAACCCGCAGCCGATCGCGCACAGCAGCGTCCCCAACAAACAGTCGCGGATTGAGTGACCGAATTCTTTTTATTTTTTTGAAGGGATTGTTACCCCCTTGGAAATACGATCCGCCAATCAACTAACAACCGGGTTCCTACTTACTGCCAGGTAAACGGAGGCGTGTAGAGTCAGGAATCTTGCCTATGGTTTTGCCCTGCCCGGGAATCGAACCCGGGGCTTCTCGCTTGTGAGGCGAGCACTCTAACCAATGTGCTGCAGGACTCCACAAGGTCCCCCCATGAGATATCTTGTGTCAAGGCTGAAGATCAGAGGTTCGTTGTTCCTCGAAGGCTAACCCCTCCAATACTGGGTGACAGACATCAATGCTCTCTTATCTGCAATTACCCAAGAACTTGGGCAGATGGTCTCCAGGACTTAAACCAGATCACTGTACATCTCTAGCAATGACTTCTGGCACGGCACGGCATTACACACAGTGAATATGTACTCTCATTGCCGAACAATAGAAGCATGAAAAGCCAGCAAAGTGCATCTTGCCCAGGGGCAGCGTGACATTTGCTGGTGGGAGCCCATTGTTTCGGTAGAAGAATGAGCACCCATAGAGAAACGGCCACGAAAAAAACAAACAGCACACAGCACCGCTGACATCAGCACACACCCGAACAACATAAGTCCACAGGCTCATTTGCCAAAACAGTCTGTGGTCACAGCTGGGGAAGAAAACATGCCCGGTGTGGGAAAGGCCGTGAAACGCTGGGCCAGGTGCACCAAAGAGTTACAGGCAATTTAAACTCGAGTCCCCGCACCCTCCAGAGGTGCCCAGCTGGCAGCAAAAACACCGAATAACACAAACTGTATAGCAACCAAATAGCAGAACACCTTTTAATCCAATCCCAACTTTGGGTTTGTTTCAGGGAGGAAGGGGTGGGAGGCGGGGGGGGGGGGGGGGGGGGAGGAATATGGACCATTAACCAACCAAGACACCACCTGAGCCATTGGATGACTAACTCGAGCTTCCATTAGGATTGTCTTGGTTACCAATTCATAAAGTAATGGGAACTAACGTGAGAGGAGGAGGGGAGGGTGGAGGAAGGGGAGGGGGAGGGGATTTAATCACTCCCTTGAAGACTAAGAGACGGATGGCAGAGAGCACCTTCCACCGAGATACAGGGCAGCATTTGTTTTCAGCGTTTGCTGAATGTCCGAATCCCGCTCTCCATTTCACGAGCTGCAAAGCCTCCCCTCTTGCTTCCCGAGCAAACGGACGCACACTGCACAGTCGCACGGAGGTGCTAATGCCCTCGAACACAGCTGGCGACACAAAACCTCTGCCGTCTCCAAGTCATCCAACGAGGTTGTCACGGCGAAGACAGAACGTTACTTTTTTGATTAAAACAAAATGAAACCCACACAGCCCCAGCTGACCCTTCCTCGTTCTAACTCTCAAAGTGCCTCTGCCCCCCACATTGCCCTGTCCACCTCTGTGATCTCCTGCAGCCCTACTCCTTCCACTTAGCCAACTCACACCTGCTTCATATCCCGCCTGCGCTCCCCTCTGTCGCTCTCTCTCCCTCCCTCCTCGGCCCCCTCCCATCTGCAATCAGCGGGTGAGCTTTCAGACACTTTTACCTCCCCTCTGCCTTCCCTTCCCTTGAGTTTAGAAGGTTTAGGGGTGATCCAATTTAAGGTTTATTTTTTAACATAATAAAGGTATTCGACAGAGTAGATACAGAGAAACTGTTTCCTCTGATGGGGGGCGGGGGGGGACATAATCTTAAAACTAGAGCGAGGTCATTTAGGAGTGAAACCTGGAGGCAGTTTTTCACCCAAAGGGTAGTGGGAATCCGGAACTCTCTGCCCCAAAAGGCTGTGGATTTTGGATCCATTCCAATTGTCAAGATGGAGGCGGCTGTTGGGTAAAATGCAAGTTGTTATTGTTGTTCTCACCGGACGCGGTGGAGGTGGACGCCTGGTCGTCCTCCGGCTGGACTGTTTGCCGCAGGATGCGATCCACCTCCAAGATATCCATCCACTGGCTCATCTCGTTCTTCAGATCCGCCAGTCGCTGCTGGGTGGCGATCTTCTCCCTCGCCAGGCGTTCCATTTCGTGCTCGTACTCCTTCTCTTTCCTCTTCAAGGTCTGGGTGAAGAGAGAGAGAGAGAGAGAGAAAAAAACAAAAACACACACACGTTAAGAAACGCTAAGCGAAAGAAGACCAAGGTCCTTCCGCCATCCCTCACGTGTATAGGTGTCACGTCCCAAACTAAATGCTGTATCCCCGAGATATTGTTTCCTAACCGAAATCTAACTAATTCGCTTTCGAGAGAATCAAAACTTTCTGCTTCCACTGTCTTGCGAGGGAGCTTGCTCCACACGTTCACTCCTCGCTCACGCCGAAATAGCGTACTCCGCACAAGTTACCCCCGTCAGTCGCGGGCCGTGTCCTCTGGTGAGGGGAGATCCTGAGGTGCAACGGTCGTCACAAGAGAGGACCGACTCGGACAAGACTTTTTGAGTCTCGTTTAGGGACAGGCGCCACGTTACCGTTCAGCTATCCCTCCGCGTAACGAACAGCAGCAACAACTTGCGCTTACATCGCGGGGAGGTGACCGTAAGCACGATCAAAAAGGAAGGACTTTAGGCTGGATTTGAAGGTGGGGAGGGAGTGGTTTGAGTGGGGGGAGTGGGAGAGAGAGAGGAAAAGCGGAAGAGGAAATACAGAGGAACATCTCAAATCACTCTGCGGGGTTTACCATAAAAACTGTGTGTTTTGTAGTGAAAGCCAACTGGCGAACAAGAAGAACTGCTTATGTTACGCTGCGCTTTTCACGTAGGATAGGCGTTCTTTGAAGTGTTCCGCGGAGAGAGGGGTGGTGTGGGGGGGGGGGAAACGGGCAGGAGAAGAGAGGACGTAGAATTAAAGGTTGGGTGCACGCTCAAGGAGACAGAGGAGATCAGAGAGAGAGAAAGAGAGAGAGGAGAAAGAGAGAGAGAGAGAGAGTTTCCGAGAGCATAATAGCTGAAAGATTCCCAAAACAAAATTGAACATGGAATTTCTCCAGCAAAACGACGACAGCAAAAAAAAAAAATAAGCTGGCGGAGATTTAGCTCGAGTTGAGATGACAAAAAGAAGACAGCGTATTACGCAATTACTCGCACCGAACAAAGAGCTCTTATCTGAGTGCCCTAAATACAGAGAGTCAAGAGAGGAGAGTCACTGCAGCCTACCACTGACTCACCACTAACTCCCAGCTGAGAACCAGCCAACGCCGGAGCTGAACCCAACCTCTGATCTCAGTCAGGGCATCGATGGGGGTTGTGGGGGTGTGGGTGGATGTGTTGAGGGAGGGTGGCAAATCGCAGCCAGGGCCGGGTGTCTGCCCCTGACCCCTACCCAGTTATGAGCGCGGCGTGGTCTGGTGCCGTGCGTCAGCCTGTGAAGTACTGGAGGAAAGGAAAAAGCAGTCCGCAGCTTTGAGAGGGAGAGAGAGAGAAAGAGAAAGAGAAAGAGAAAGAGAGAGAGAGATAGAGAGAGGGGGAGAAGTTCACGCTTCACAGCTGAAGGTTTGAAAGTGTTTTGCCCTCCGCCAGGCAAGGCCTGGACTCAACAGTGAGAAGCCGGTCACACCGAGTATTTGATAAGAAAATGTCTTTTATGCGTCGGTTTAACTTTCTACAAACGGAAGGTACAGTATGTCATAACTGCTACTAATTAGACATCTCCCACCCCCCCCGTCCACCCATCTAATTCCCCCCCCCCCTCCCCCCTCCCACCCAAGAAAGAGCAGGGTGTTGGCGTACAGGCTCTGGCCAGGCACCTCCGACACCCCACCCAAGTGGCTAATCTTCACCTGAGCAAACAGGGAGCCTCAGGGGCTCATTTACGGGTGATCACAGCAAAGTCCAAACTGAGCCTCGTCTGATGCGCGCGGGCACTCGTATACGCACGCGCGCACTCGGACATGCATGCACGCACTCTTATACACGTGCACACACTCGTAGACACACGCGCACACTCGTATACACCCACACACTCGTGTAAACAGGGGCACATGCATATACACACGCACACACTCGCATACACACGCACACACTCCCGAGTTTCTCCCAGTGTCCTGGCCAAGAACACCCCAAATATTACTAAATCGCTCACTCCACGACTATTTGTGGGACGGTGCAGTACGCATTTGTGCTGCCGCGTTTGCCTACAAATACACAGTCACTTTGTTTCACAGTAAATCCTGCGAAGGGCTTTGAGGCGTCTTTCCAACGCTCCACGTCCCCCGCCCGGCCCACCCCAGCATCGGTGCTCGGGCTTTCAGCCTCTCCGCTCCCACCCTTTGGAACTCCATCCCACAGTCCCTTTGCCTCGCTCTCTCCCTCCCTCGCCTCCTTCAAGGCACGTCTCAAGAGCCTCCTCTTCCACTGTGCCTTCGGTCACCCTCCTACCCCCACCCCTACCCTCCCTGCCCTCCACCCCTCCTGATGCCAACCCCCAGCTCAGGTCCAAATCCCAAACTGCCCAGCGCCTTGGGACGTCCTCCCATCGTGGAAGGAACTATACAAATGCAATCGGTTGTTGTTGATGGCAAGGAGCTATACCAAATGCTAGGATTGTTATTATTTTTATTATTATTATTAATTATTATTCACTTCACAGCTCAATGTGGGGCACAAAACATCTGCCGGGTTCGCCTGCAAATACAGAGTCGCTGCACAGGACAGCAACAACCTGCAAACAGTGCCGACACGTTAGAGGCGTTGTTTGAAATGCAACAGGTTTTTCCTACCGATAATTATCACAGGGGGTGGGGAGTTGGGGGGGGAGGGGAGGGGGTGGGAGTGAGAAACAAACCGCTGAGGTTCATCCCTACAAACCCCGGATTTAGGATTTACGCCTGATCTCAATTGTTCCTGGTAGGAGTAAGCTGCTTTACGTCTCTAGACTTAAGGGTGATCTCCAGATGACGCTCAGTGAATAAAGCGAGTACCAAGACAACACTAAAAATAATAATAATAATCCTTGCATTAGATACGGCACCTTTCACATCGGGAGGATGTGGCAAAATGCTTCACAGGAGACGCAGTAAATCTAACGCGGGGACCAATTTGCGCACGACAGCGCCCGAACAACAGGGAGGAAATGAAATTCCACTTGGTGGGGGTTGTTGGCCAGGAGACCAGGAAAAAGTCTTTTTTTTCTTGAATTGCGCCACGGGATCTATTTGCTGACCGGGGGACCCCAGTTTAACGTCTCATCTGAAGGACGGTGCATCCCAATACCACAGCTCCACATTCCCCCCCACCAGCACCACCTCAGCACTCTGTTGGGTGTGTCAGTCTAGACTGCGAGATCAAAATCCACCCGTGGGGGTTTGAACCCACGAACCTTCTGACTCACAGTCGCAAGAGACCTGCCAACTGGGTGCCAGGCTGACACCCGAAAGCCAGGTAACCAACACGGTCGGGGAAATGCACAGCGAAGGAATAATTTGGGATGAGATGTGGATACACGTTTAAACTTGATTAAAGCTCATTCATTAAAACTCGACCAAACCCTCCTTCAACCTTTATTGCTGCGATTCGAGCGAGGCGAGTCTGAGCCACACGCGCGCGCAGACACATGCACGCGCACACCCGCGTGCACACACACGCGCGCGCACGTGCACACACACACACACACACCCACGCACACACACACCCGCGTGCACACATATACGTACGCCCGCACCCGCGCGCACACACCCATACGCGCACACATACCCGCGTACACACACGCGCACGTGCACACACGCGCCCACGTGCACACATAGGCGCGCACACACATGCACGGGCGCACACACGCACTCCGAGATCACGAATCGAAACCTGCGATGTTTATGTAAAGCGCGGAGAAAATAAAATAAAAGCAAAAAGGCAAAAGCGCAAAACACAACAGCAGCGGCGAGCAGGCAGGGCAGGGCAAGGCAAGGCAGGGCAGGGCAGGGCAGGGCAGGCAAGCAGGCAGACCCCACCGACACTTTTTACAGGGCTGCGTTTCCTTTTTAAGAAGCTCCTCCTCCCGGCTTCATGTAGCACCAGGAATCCCTTGCACTTTCAGTTTGACAAACACAGTAATTATTTAATTCTGCCCTCCCCCTTCGCCACCCCCTCCCTCCGCCCCCCTCCGCCCCCCTCCGCTCTCTCTCTCTCTCGCTCGCTCCCACCCCCACCGCACCCTCCCCCCACCCCCACACCCCCCCCCCCCCCACACACACACACTCTCTCTCCACCTCCTCGTCGCCAGTCTGCTATCGTACACACAGCACGTGTCCGCGGGTCGATCTCGTCTTACAGGAAACCACTTGGTCCGATGCCAACGCACAATGACTGCACACGAGCGGCTCAGCACAGAGGAACACTCCCTCCCAACACTGCTCTGCCTCTCCCGCTCGCTCCAAGCCGACAAAAACAGAGCGGCTGATGTACGAGGAGGCACTGGCTCAACGGATTTTCCAAGTGCAGCAGATTTCTCTCTTCCCTTAACCCCCCCGACCCCCCCCCCCCCACCTCCTCTCGCCACCTACACCCCCACCCATTTTTACACCTCTGCCTCTTAACGTGTTTTTGAGACTCCTTTTTCCAGCTTCTAGGAGGGAATGGTGCATTGTGGAGGAGGGGGTTCGTGGTGATGGGGGGGGGGGGCAGGGGAGGGGGGGTGTTGGAGCTTTTCCAAAAGGAGTCAGGAATTTTTTCATCTTACGTTCAACAACACCAACAACTCGCATTTACATTGCGCCTTTCACGCAGGGTGGTGTCTCGGAGTGTTCAAGCCTCTGCAGTGAGCGGTGGGGGGGGGGGGGGTCAGGCAACCGGCCCCCACGTCTCCCCCCCCCCCCCACCAGCCCAAAGACGCACAAAGCTTACAGCGGGGGACAGACAGCGCAGAGTGTTTATGTCCTGAAGAACTCAGTGATTTCCACCACACACCCCCCTCACCCACCCACCACCCCCGAACCCAGGGGACGCGGAGGACAAGCGTGACACCTGGACACGCACACACACGCACACACACACACAGCACCCTCCACAGTAATCTTCTCAGATTATCCGCCTCTCCCTCCCCCATTCGAACCGATCCACAATTAGTTGCGTCCGAT